CTGGCCGAATTTTATAAGATGTGTTTCCGATTGACGCTCTTCGTCAACGGTTAGTTCGCCTTTGGTGGACGCTTCGTGCCGCACTTTCCTCAACAAATTTTGAACATAACGATGTACCCATGCCACAGAACGTTTTAGTCTAGAATAATTCGAAAAGCGATCAATATTTGGCATTATCACGTATACTTGCCTCGCAGTTGACATAATGTATTTGACGCGCAGCTCATCTCTGCTGTGCTCCTCGCTATTAGTCATAAGTGATTCTTTCGGCCATAGGCTCTCGTCTTCCAACAAAAATTCTGGTCCATTTTTCCAGCGTCCATCGGCGTTATAATTCGCCGGAAATTTCGCTCTAGTGGTGCATCGGCTGGATTGAGCGGCCCGGGACACCAGCGCCAGTCTCCGATCTCGCAAGCTTCTAAAATTTCTGCCACTCTGTTGGCTACGTATTGTTTATATCGTCGGTGATCTGCTCGAATCCATTGAATAACTGTCAACGAGTCGGTCCAGAAATAGAAGCGATTAATGATTTTATTATGGTTTAATACGATAGTTTCTTTTAACCTTAGCGCCATGACCGCAGCCTGCAGCTCAAGCTTCGGTATGGTATGGTACCGCGTTGGCGCGCAGCTTGACTTTGCCATAACGAATCTAACGATAACCCTACCATCACTCATCACCAGTGTTGCCGTTTTAGCCCTTTGGTGGCTAAATTTGGCTACCAAATTCTTTTTTTGGCCACAAAAATTTGAAATTGCCCCTAGTCCTTTTTTTAGCCCTTTCAAAATTTATTCATCATTGTCATTAACATTTTTTTTTTATGATTTTCATGAATTTAACTCTTCGCTCATAAAGCGAACGCCTTTCCCTTAAGGCAAGTAAACATATGTCTATGTATGTTCCTTACGTTTCTGGGCCGTTATCTTATCCGTTAACGATTTAACTATACATTAAAATAGGTAAGTTGGCGGCCCTTAATATGCTTTATGTGTTACACAAAAAGTTTTTTTGTTGAATAAAATATTAATTCTTTTCAGAGTTCATGGTTTTTCTATACCAGTAATTATAGAAAATGTTTGCGTGTATACTTACATATTTATACTAGCAGTACCCCGGTGTGCTTCTCTACACCAAATATTGAAAAACGAATGAAAAGTCCTGGAATTTTTCTATATGAAAATTTATCATTTGTTTTATTTCAAAATTTTTGATTCTTTATTTTAAATCTTAATCCAACACATTTGGATATACAACATTTTTTGTTTTTCCATCTTGGGTATCAATAAATAAACAATTTGGAATGCCAACTCTTGAACAGGCCACGTATAGCTACCAATTCCAGTAATCTAACACAAATATTTCAAGAGATATACCAGAAGAAAATTTTTGTTACTATGGGTGGTGCCACGCCCCCTTTTCCGAATTCGGGGAAACTTAACCCAAACCATCTGCATAATAGCCGGACTATGCCGTATAAATTTGGTTGAAATCTTGCACTTATTCTTTATATATAAGATGTGAGGTGCCACGCCCTCTTTTCCAATACCGCCCATTTTTATCCATGAGTATGGAATTACCTCTATACCAACTTCCAGTACTCTACGACAAATATTTCAAGAGATATACAACAACAAAATTTGAGTTAGTATGAAAGGTGCCACACCCCCTTTTACGAATTCGGGCAAACTTCACATAAACCATATGCATGATAGCCTGAATATGCCGTATAAATTTGGTTGAATTCGGTGAAGCCGTTCTCAAGTTATAAGCTCACACCAAAAACGGGTACTTATTTGTATACATAAGATACATACATATGCCACGCCCCTTTCCAAATTTGACCAAACTCCACATAAAATATCTGCATGATGGCCCGAATATGCCGCATAAATTTGGTTGAATTCGGTGAAGCCCTTCTTAAGTTATATTGTCACACCAAAAACGTGCACTTATTTTTATATATAAGATGTAGGTAAAAAAATTTAGCTACCATTTTTAGCCACAACAACGATTTTTAGCTCTTTTTTAGCCCTTTTTTAGCTGGAATTTAGCTACCACTAAAAATGTTTCGCGGCAACACTGCTCACCACACGCCAATAAGCTACAG